CAATATTTTAACATTTCTTACTGAAAGCCGAAAGGGTCCAAGGCGTGAGTCTGGTACCATGCGTAGAAAGCTTCTCGTTTTTCAGTACGCATGTTGTCCGGGTTGTAGTAGTGAGCCTCAGGCAAATAGGGTAAAACGGCGTTTTGATTGGCTTCAGTATTGAAAAAAGTCAGGAAAATAGCCTTTAGCCATTTATGTCATGCTAATCGTTTTAGGCATACAACTCAAAGGCATGGTCAAGTAACACATTGAATCTTTAAACTGCACTTGGCCCACTTGCATATAAATGATTTTGGTTCCCTTTAAAGCCTCTTTAGGACATTCTGTACTTTGTTCCGTATAGTATCTCAACAGAAACTGTCCATTGTATCCCGATAAATTGTGAGCCATCACCATGGCATAATGATGGCAATCTCTGTAACGTTCAATGTCTTCTTGGCTCCACGTCTCGTCGATAGGTCTAAGATCAATTGGGCAAAATTGGACAATGTGTTGGGTCCCCGAAAGATTTTTCACGTTCTCCATGAATCTTGCTGCACTAAGGGCAATGACTAAAGGTAGGCTCTTGGATGCACTTCTCACACGATCGGTAAGGCACGCAGACATTAGGAATGTGAATGCCAGTCTCATGCATGCATTTAAAAATGGCATTTTTGAATGTATGCATTGGTGTTCCAAGTCAACGATTTGGTGACAAATGTGACATCTTTTCTTTCACTTCTTTTTCTGCGCCTTGACATTATTGATATGCATGCCTTGTCCACAAGTAGGACACAATCTCTAGAGCTAATAAGCACATTTCTGATGTGACCCTTGCGTCTTCAGATGTTGTTGACAACAGGCAGGACTGACAAACATGCTTAATGCTGCAAAGTTTGTCCACCAAAAAAACTTTTTTTAGCCATGTCCTATCCCTTTAGGAAGAGACACGTGGGGCATGCACATTGTAGCTTTTCCGTCGTTGATGTGAAACTTGTCGTTGGATTGCTGTACGTGTTAAATTTTGTCCATGATTTTGGAAGGTGTCAGTTCTGATGGGCTGCTAAACTCAATCCAAAATGGAGACTTCAAATTGTCGTGATGAATGGAAAGTCTCAAGCGATCGTCTTCTTTGGCTTCACATTGCTGTTTCAATGTGGTTAACAAAGAATCACACACTTCAGTGATAAAACCTTCTGCTTTCTCCAACGGTACGTCGAACTTGAAATCTTTAAACTTTACTTCGTTTGTATAGGCAGTAGTTCTAAATTTTCTAGAGGAGTGTTTTTCTGTCTCTCGAATGTAATAATATTTTTGGGTGGTTTACTGACTGTAATGGGCATTATTTTTGTAGACTCTCTGGGGATAGAATCTGGTTCACTCGCTTCATCTTCAAAATCACTGGCATGAATTTGTGCCAAGACTTCACCTACTGTGTGAGACGATAAATCACGTTTTTACCTCTTACTTTCTTCTCCTTTCTTTACTAAATGATGCGATCGTTTCATCTTGATTGCAAAGTCAAATGAATACATATCCAACAACATGGTAGTCTTTATATCCATGTCAGACCAGTGTATATACAGTTTATATAAAGAGCTGGTTACTCTCCTTTCAGTATTTAGTTTGTTCTCAAACCGATCAGTACAATAGAAGAACCCACACAGATGAAACTTCTGATTAGAACTTTGCGAGGTGTCATACGAAAGTTTTCTTCAGACAATCCGACGGACTACTCTTCCTCATTTCGAGATAGAAATCAAGATATCTGCTATATCCGTAAGAATAAAGGGCGTTGGTCTACAGACTGTCCAGACCGTCAAAAAAAAAACAGTGTCAAAAGAGACAAAAGTCGAGATACCTGTTATCATTATCAAGACAGAGGACACTGGTTTTCGAACTGCCCAAATGGAGTATTAGTAGGATGAGGAAGAAAAAGAAGATGAAAAGGAAGAATCCCAAGACATTCAGAAAGTGAAGAAAAGAAGAGAAAACATGGAGAAAGAAGAAGAGAGGAAAAACTGTAAAAGTGAAGAAATTCAAAACAAAAACGAATACTGAACTTGAACTTTAAAAACAAGATAGAAAAAAATCTATGAACTTTTTAATAAAAGTGTTGTGTTGTGAATTGGATTGTAAATATTTGTACCATAATAGACAAGGCTGAAAAAAATGTGTCTCCTGGTTTTGATTTTTTAGAATAAAAGTATTCACTCTTGTACTCTCATACAAATTCTACATTATAGAGTTAAAAAGTTTTAAGTTTTCATTGATTTTGGCAAAATGAATATTAACTCTTTTCGAAAAAGATGGGTGGCTGTGAAAAGGACAGTTGGGTGTTTTATTTTTCTTGAGAACAAACTTAGGAACGAGAAGCAATTCGCTTTAACTACCTTAAGCCTTTGCCACAACCAAGGCCTTCTTGTGAACTTGCTACTCTCAATGATTTCGTAGAAATTACTAGAGGTGGTATCTCAGGTATAGTCACAGGGTTAGGCTGTTTGGCTCGGGAAGGTCTTTCTCTTTTGGGTCGTAATGAAGGAGTCGGATACATTTCTTTCAGCCTTCTTAACTCTGCCAAAATATCCAAGAGTAGCGTGACCGTTTGACTTTAACTGTTCTCCTTCTCTTCATGTCTTTGTTTCTTCTCTATTCCTTCTTCTTCATGTCGTTTCCTTTTCGCTTCTTCTTCTTCTTCTTCTTCTTCTTCTTCTTCTTCTTCTTCTTCTTCTTCTTCTTCTTCTTCTTCTTCTTCTTGCTGTTGCTGTTTAAGGAGAAATGTTGTTCTGCCTATTTCTGCTGCCGTAAAAATTTTCTAATTATTCTTTTAGTCTTTGTCTAAAATCTTCGACGTGTGGTAAAGAAGGATAAAGTGGCGAAGGTGCTGGTGCCGTAACAAATTCTTGCGAAGAGAGAAAATCTACTAAATCCCAGTTGAAATCGGTCTCTTCCGAAAGTAGCACAGTGTTCACTTTAGTAGCCGCTGCTATGCCATCACTTTTCGTTTTCACAGCCGGTGCACCCCATTTCATTTTCTTAGGTTCTTTTATTGGTGTGATCCCTCTCAGAATAATCTTAGGTTCCGTTTTGCTAAACCAAACGATGTGGCATCAATTCACTGCGTACAAACGCTAGCGCACGTATACAAGGATTGTGACGTCACAGGTAGCTCTCTTCGGATTGGAAGACAGGCTCCGCAAAGTGACCGAATTTTGTAACACGCATTGGGATTTGTCAACAATTTCAATCCGTTTCGATCCGCTCTTCCCCTTTAAATAAACGCGGTTCACTTCATTCCCTTCACCTGTTTTCGATACAAAGAAGATGTTGATTAATGTTGAATCCTCTACTTGTGTATCGCCATTGTTTTTCCGTACTGACTTACCCATGTATGTGAAAACAAAATGGATTATCATGCTGATCACCGGTGCCACTGTTTGGAAGCAAAGAAATAAAAGTTTGTCTGAAGCGGAGACTCATCTTTGGACCCGAAGTGAGACCCATTTAAGAGAAACTTTGAGGAATTTGAGAAAGAAAAGAAGAACTATGCAATGTCCTGTATATTAACGAACTGGTGTTGATATAACAAACAACGGCCTTTTTCAGGGCCACTTTCTATGCCTCAAATATATATATATATATATATATATATATATATATATATATATATATATATATATATATATATATATATATATATATATATATATATTTTTAAATATTGTCTAAAAAAATTGAATTGTATAGTATATGTAAGTTATAAAACATATATTACTCTATTAACCAATACGAACGCTTGACGTCACAGTAATTATACGTTGCTACAGTGTTGTCAGTGTCCAATACCTTGACGTCATGCCACCAGTGCCATTCTTCTTTTTCCTATACAAAATTCCCATTGAGGCTATACTATCCCACTATGCTACTTATCTGCACATTCTCAATACCGATAAAGTCTGCCTAGTCTAAGACTAATGCTGCAGTACAGTTATGCGTTATGCATTAACATCGCATTGTATAAAAGTCTGATCTTTTTAGAAACATTTTCATTATTTTAATACACTAACAAATTAATAATGGTCTGAATATTTAATTTACAATCTTACAGAAATATTTGCTAAACATGTTTATTTTAATCTGAGTCCAGGACATTAGTTATACACTTGGAAATTCCTAAACTTGTTGACAACTTTTGATGTTTTATAGACGAGACTAACCTATATCATGGCTCTATTATTATGTCTTAGCTTTTTAATGTTTACTTGAAAATTACTAACTCTTGCCAAAGCATCCAAAGCAGAATCGTCTTTATTGTGTTCAGTTGTTCATTTGGGTGGATTTATTTATTCATACGTGGAATTACAAAGTGCACAATGACATTCTTGGACTGTAACATTAATCTTTAGTTATGGTGAACTTAGGCAAGGACATTATTAGATTATAGTCCTGTGATGCATCAAAGGGCTGTTAACACATCGCCACAATCCAGGCCATATGCACAATAGTACGTTATAGACTGCAGACACATCAATACGATTCGTATTAGAACGTATTTGAATGCCAATGGAATTAAATTGGAACTTCATACATTTAGACTTGTGATACAATTTTTATAACTATTTGTGATATAATGCACAATGCTGTAAGTTCTTTGTAAATTTTCAATTTGTATGCTAGGGAAAAAAACTAGTTGAATTTTACAAAACGTGTTGGTTTTTGCTCTGATCTGTTACTTAGCTTAAGACCATAGAGTTGTAATAGTGTAATCTGCTAGACAAATTATATTAGTGCTGGTCGCAATCAGCACGAAATATTCAAACCAGAATGTGCTATCAACAAAACTTATTATATTAGCGTTTAATTATAGCGAGTAGCAAAAACATATAGACTGATTTATTTCGTTATTGATTTGTGCTTTGCTTTTGTTTGTTTCAAACGCACTGTTTAAAAGACATTTTTGGCAATATCAATTCCAGGAAATTGGAACTAGGTGCCCTTCCAAGGACACACCCAGACGGTCGATCTGGGCTGCCCTGGTATCGAACCAATCACTCTTGGATTACAAGTCAGACGCTCTACCAACTGAGCTATCGCGGCTCCCAGATGGATACTTAACAACGAGTGTTTAGATTATAATCATGTCAATACCCGTTACACTTGTCGGAACATTTAGGCTTTTTCCTGCGAGACAAAAACATTCGCCGGATGTATACTGACAGTAATTTAGAGAAAAATCGCTAATTGTATTGGCCTAAAATGTATTAACACAACAGAAACAGCAGCATATTCGGACAACCTCGGCTATTTCTGCAGGAGGATTGACGGTGAGTTTAACCTTGAAGTTGTAAATGAGAAAAAGTTTGATATATTCGTAACTTCTCGAGCAGTCCTTGTTTCGTACTCAACCTGGTTGGTCCGGACGGCAACTTATTGCAAGCTATCGGCGTATATTCTGTATATGATCCATAACATTTGAACCACTCTGTGCCATAGCCGCTAAAAAAACGACTTTGCTATGGGGCGTTTTTAATCCAATTTTGGATATTATCCATACAACGACCAACTCAGAGGTGACATCTTTACGTTAAGAGCAACAAATTAGCTCTGAGCACGTGGACCCAAAATTACTTTGTTAATTTTTATAACATACTGAAATCAGACTTTTATATCTCTTAGAGGTAATTTTAAATTAAGCACAAATCTTGCAAACAAGTATCTAACACATTCTTGCAAAGATTTAAATTGCTGATACTTATTGAAGGTACACGTTGTAAAGCTATTCAATTTCGGAGATAGGTAAATCTTGCTTGTAGTCCGCAATCTCATAATGCATAAATAGATGTGATAGTTTAAAAAAAAACAACAAAGGAAATTAAAAAAACAAACAATAAAAGGTAAATCCCACAAAACTACTGAAACTTGTGTAGTTTGACCTCGAACTTGCGAATGATAGGTACTGGTAATTTTTCTTCCGAGTGTCTCCAAAGTTAATAAGTATACGTGAACGTAATCATTCGTATCAAGTCGATACAAATGTTGTTTGTATTCTCGGTCCAAACAAGCAGATTTAGACAATTGTGTAACTGAGATAAATAACTTGAGCAGACCATTGCTAGGCTAACAAGGTTTTCATCTGACTTTCCGTGCCTGAATTCATTTAAAAAATACTAAAACGAATCCTTTCAGGAGAATGCTTTCAGAAATTAGTTGCCAATTCAGGTGTAGTTATAATTTAAATTCCATCAGCGGGCTTTAACGTATATTTTACCGTTGTCAGCTGTTGACCTGCTAACCTGCTAGATTTAATGAACAGATTGTATTAATCGATTGAGCACTCTCTCTCTCTCTCTCTCTCTCTCTCTCTCTCTCTCTCTCTCTCTCTCTCTCTCTCTCTCTCTCTCTCTCTCTCTCTCTCTCTCTCTCTCTCTCTCTCTCTCGCCTCATTTTATGCTTTAACTGTGTGACAGGGAAATGTGGTCTATTAATAATTTTTATTGCTCCTCCCCTAAAGAAAACAAAAACAGAGGGAAATAACCGGAATGTTTCTTATTTTAAATTTTCCTTACAGTTAGATCAAATTATGCCCTAGAAAATAAAGATTCTTCCTGGGGCTTGGCCGCCTGGTCCTCTGTCATCGCGGGGATGGGGTTCCATCCCTCTGGTCTACTTGTTTTTGGGTCTCCCAAACCTCGTGATATTTCTTGATCGGACATTTACTATCTTTTGATACTTTGTTTAATCTAATCCTTTTCATACAGCTATTGAATTTTTTCACTCTTTCACGTAGATACTCTCTCTCTCTCTCTCTCTCTCTCTCTCTCTCTCTCTCTCTCTCTCTCTCTCTCTCTCTCTCTCTCTCTCTCTCTCTCTCTCTCTCTCTCTCTCTCTCTCTCTCTCCAACGTAAGATTTGCTTCTATTGTATGACTGGGTAAAGGGCCTGTTTGATAGATGGATACTTAAAGATGGCTGAACGACTAAAGTACAAGAAATTCGTATGTGGAAGTTTGAGGAATAGTGGCACCTTTTGAAGGGTTGTGTTACTCAACAAATACCTGCTACATCAATACCTGAATCTGGAGACCTTTTAAAAGCCTGCCCGCATGCCTGATGACACACGTTTTGCTCTAGATCATTAAGAAATCCATTTCTATAATTATTATGTACAGCGTGTCTTTCGCATTTTGTTTGAGGAATTAAATATTGCTATTTCGATAGGAAAATTGAAAAGAGTAGTTATAGAGTTAAGAATTGTAATCACAATGGCCAAGAAAATTTATTGAATGCTTTTTCATTATTGACAAGCGCAACTCTCTTCAACTTGGAAATTTACATTGGCAACCAAGATCAATGAAACGTTGATATTTATAATCTATAAATAGCCCTTGGTAAGTAAATCACACTCTTGACGCAGGCTTGGCCCGATTAATCATGGTTAACACCTGTAAGAGGTGAATCAGAAGCCTGGAAAGGTCTAAAAGGCACGCCAGGTATAAAGCAGTCCGAACACGTCCGATTATAGTCTAATCCGATGTCTTTGCACTTTAAGAAGGGTCGGCATTTAACTTAAATATTAATAACGACAAGCTTGCAGAAAAGTCTGTTAAGACAGATTATTACTATGTAATCGTTGATTAATCATCTAGTTGTTTGATGGTGTTCGTTTGCACATATGATCAGGTTTTTTTTATATAAAAAAACCCCATAAATACAGAGATTTACTAACCAGGACTTCGGTTTCACTTTTAGTACTTTGTCTAACCACAAACACAAACACGATCTATCTCGTTACGTAAGCGCTCCCTAACTCACACCCACATGAAAAAATATCTCTCTCGCTCACACTTTAATGTTCTTTGGTTAAAAAGAAACAAAACAAAAAATAAATAAACTATTATGGAATTTGGGATGTAAGTCTACAAATTAAGGCTAGTATCGATGATTGCGTGCTTGTACATCTCGTTGTATATAAAAGTCATCTATTTCACGTTTACAATACCCTTTTTAAACCTCAAACCTCTTAAAACTGAACGTTAAATTTGATCTCAAAGGTTGTCGACTGGCTGGAATTAATGGCAAACAATGGGACGTTATTTTGATAGCCGATCCTGTATAATGATGACTGACTTCAGTATACAGGCTGATGTAAGGCAAAGTTATCTTAATATTTTGCTTTCATTTATTTCTGACAAATGACTCCCCCACCGATGTTTTAATTTTGATGCCACCCTCAATGAGAAAATATCGGTTTCGTTACATGCTGGCATGCATCGGAACCATGCGTATGGTATCGTTACTTCACTGAATTTGATGCCACAATGGATTCAGTGTTTTCGGAAAATGAGTTTTGTGGCCGAAAAGTTAGTTATACCGCCCTTACGTAATAGAATACACAAGACTGTATTCAACAAATTGTTGATTATGACACTTAAGGCAAACACGTGAAATCTCAATATATGTTATGTTTATTTTGTCTTTTAAAACGCACCTGCAAGCAACTCAATAAATTATGTTGGAGTAGAGGGGGATAATTTAAGATATTGTTATCAGACCAAATGTCATGCAAGTTTACACTGTTCATCCACTTATGGGTGTAATACATTTGCATTCCATTTCTTACAGTGGAACAAATAATGGGTACTTTCCATTTAAAATTATGAGTAAAGGCTTACAAATTTTAAAGATCACGTTATCTCTCAATGCTGATTCAGTGATCTAAAGAAACTATAATTAATTTCATTATAATTTTTAACGGCCACAGTAAACATAATCAAAGAACTAGTCAAAGTCGCGCCACAAAAGTACGAGTTAAATCTAAACCGTTAAAAGGATCGGTAACATTAAAAAATAATCTCAAATAATTTTTAACTTTTTTCTCTTAACAAAATAATTATTTTAACTATACGATATTTCTCATCAGTATAGTACAGAATATTGCTTTAGTATCGAATTCATACATCGACCTTTATATGCTTTCTGTAATAATTTTGAAATGTCAGCAAACACACCAATTATAGGATTTCATATTGCTTTTTAATAAATCAGAAACCTTTCTTTCCTTACTTTAAAGAACCTAACGCGAAAATTTCAAAAGCCATAAATTATGTCATCACCACAAATGGACGTTTCCTGCTTCTAACATTTTCAGAGACTTGATAATGATAAATATGCGCGTGACAAAATAACTGTATTACACAATGACACTATTTATGTTTTGTTATTATTTTAGGATAGCATTTGTTACTAAACACATTACTGTTATTTATAGCAAAATTTAGCAAATGTCTTTGTTAGACCATTCAAATTAGTTAAATTAAATTCGGTATTTTGGAAAATATTTATTACGCCAATCGAAAGCTGGACCGTGTTAGAAGAGACAAGAGTCCAAAATCGGTTTATTGTCATATATTTGCACCACGTTTAAAAGGCGGCACATCGTGATTTGATGTATTGTTTCAAATCAGTTGTATTTAAATTGGCGATATCAATAATTTTTTATTTCCTTTTTGCCTTCGTGAAGTTGAACATTCTGCCTAGTGGTGAAAGCGTTCGCCTCGGATGCAGGAGGTCGTGGGTTCGAACTCCGGCTGAGTCATACCAAAGACTTACAAAAATGGTACAAACAGCTGACTCGTTTGGAGCTCAACATTCAGAGGTTAGTGTTAGGACTGGTCAGGATAATGTGACTGGGCTGGACATCATGCCACATGTCTGCGACATGATGCCCCAATGCTAGACATCACTATGAACTGTCACACTGCAGACATCGTAACAATATGACTGAAAAATTGTTAAAGCTACGTTAAAAATCTAAATCACACACACACACACACACACACACACACACACACACACATGCACACACACACTGCCCCACTCACTTTTTCCTTTTGGAAATTTCAACAATAACAAAATACTAACTGAAAGAAATGGGTACCAATGTTTGGTTTTCTGTGGTGTGCGATTGCGTGTATTGTCGTTGTTAGTTCCTTCTTTCGATAATTAGCGTATTTATACGCCTGCATCTACGGAACGCACTGGTCCTGTCCTAATCTAAGAGAAAATGTACAAAACCGCTTTGGTCTCCATCACATTCTTTGTTCCCA